GTCCTGCCGTGGGGTGAGTGGAGGTGGGGGAGGGAGGAGGAGGAGGAGGAGGAGGAGGAGGAGGTGGTTAGTGATGATGCTGCTCTGAAATATCATCCAGGAGGAGAAGGTGGAGGTGGAGGTTTAGAGGATCAGTACAGCTGATGGAGGAGCAGGGAGAAAAAAAATCAACTTTTAAACTGAAGTTTAAAGACGACACACACACCTGTGTAACTCTCTCCCCCCATCTCTCCCCCCCCTCCACATGTTCTTCTTCTTCTTCAGCTGGTCATCATGTCTGGCACCGCCCTGCTGGCCTACTACATGGAGTGCACCGACCTGTTCAGCGTCCACGTCCAGGGCTTCTTCTGTAACGATGCCGACCTGATGAAGCCGTACCCCGGCTCCGAGGACACCAGCTTCGTCCCCCCCCTGGTCCTGTACTGCGTGGTGGCCGCTGCTCCCACCGCCATCGTGAGTAGTGACCACCACGTCCAGTTTTTACCCATCATGCTCCTGTGGTGTCACGTCTGGTTTTCATCATTTCATTAACATTCATTGACTTTTAGAGTAAGAGATTTTAGGACTGAAAATATATTCATTTTACATTTGACAACATCATCGATGATGTCACAATGTGATGATGTCACAATGTGATGATGTCACAGTCATGTGACACAACTGTGACATCATACCTTGAGCTTTGACCCAGGAGCTCGTTGTAGCTGTAGTTCATCTAAAAACCTCAAAACTGTGGTTCTGAAACTATGGTGCACATACCAACTATGGTACTTGTGCGCCCTCTAGTGGTATGTTGGGGAATTTGATCCAGATGAGGATTAGGTGAGTCGTGTTTCAGAATGAAAATAAAGTAGCAGTTGTAGTCAGGCTCAGCGAATGTTCAGATTATAAGAATGAAGTAGTACTTGTAGTACTTGTAGTACTTGTAGTACTACTTCATTCTACAGTGTACTGTTGTCTGATGAGAAGTTTAATAATAATCTTAAACCCACTCACTGTATTCACTGGTGTGAACCTGTGCACAACGTTAATAAACCATACAGCTAAAGGCTAACTATTGCTAACGGCTAACTGTTGCTAACGGCTAACTGTTGCTAACGGCTAACTGTTGCTAACGGCTAACTGTTGCTAACGGCTAACTGTTGCTAACGGCTAACTGTTGCTAACGGCTAACTGTTGCTAACGGCTAACTGTTGCTAACGGCTAAACAGCTCTGTCGGGGTGGTTTTGTTTTTTTTTTTTCCGGAGGGAAGGGGAAAAAA